GACATTTTATCCAGGTGGGATTCAGCACAATGTGGCCTAGAGGCAAAGCGTGACAAATCAAAGCAGCAAAGTTCATGTAGTTTGTTCTATTTTTGAGTGCATCCAAGCTGATCTTCACTTAGAACTAGTTTGGAAATACGACCATCTTGGAAAAGACGACCATCTTGGTCCAGGACCATCCGTTTCTCAGGTGTCATTTGATCTCCCGGCAACGACCTGTTTGACAGGTTTTGTACATACGAAAGCCTCCGTTCCACCATCCCCCAAAGGAGGTAGCTGGGAGCGCCCGCGCGCGCCGCGCCGAGGTCAGCACTGGCCTTGGACCCTTTGATGTGCTACACTCATCCCAACGGACAGCAGAGTTTGTTGCAACATCCGGGCGTTCTTTGCGGCACCCAGGACTGGGAAATCCAACGTTCGGCGATGTTTAAAACTCGGACGAACATGACGCAAAGAGAAGCCTATTATGAGGTCATGATGAGACTAGATGAAGGCAAAAGGGGTAAAGAATGTGACACATCGCAAGTTCTGCGGTTTGTGGAAGCGTTGAGTGGCACGATACCTGAGGACATTGGTGCGATGAAGAGCAGACCAATCTCCGCATGAAAGAAGCCAAACGAAGCAGCAACAACTAAAAGCAATCCCTGCAGAAAAAGGCGAACCTCTCAGTCTTTGTTATGTTTGTTCACAAGGCTCTCCTTACAGGTGAGTTTCCTCTTGGTCTCTCCTATGGTCTCCTTCCCATGAAATAAGTCGTTCTGAAGTTTGTTTGCAGTCTGCGGTAAGCCATGCTTTGTTTGTTCCAATCTCTCTGCACTGTCTTGGGGCTCCACTTTTCAACAGGAAACACATGCGTTTTGCGCAAAACAGTCGGTGTCGGCGACTAGTTCTGGGAGCATGGTTGTATGACTGCCAATTTGGTGTTGCTACCATCAGGAGCACTCTATGATGATGCTGGCTGGTTTCGTTTTACTCTTCTGTGGCCTGGAGGATGAAAGAGCTTGTGTAAATCTTCAGCACGGTTCACTTCACTGGTCTTCCCAGTTTTGATGTATTCAGACTCAGACATCGCCAAGTCTTTCAGATTCTGGCAGCCGGTATAATGAGAAGTGGCAAAACTCTCAATCTTGCATTTTGGGCCGGTCATCTACAGTTCTTTTGGGGCGCCCCAACTTGCAGATATGGATTTGTCTCGATCAGCAATGGGAAGAACCTCTTGAGGGTGCTTGGTGACTGGAACTTTGGCTCCCTTTTCTAAAACTCGCTTCGGCTCGCACTGCCAGGTTTTGGGGGTTCCCGGAGGTTACTAGTCAAAATCAAAACACTTTTTGATTTCGTATGTGGGCAGCCCCAAGGTGTTTGGTTGGACGTTGAGGAACAAATACCAACCCTGGTTGTTCTGAGTGAGAGATACGTGAGAGGTGTTCCTTAACCCTTCCAAAAAAGCACCTCATTGAAGATGGCATGTTCAACCTTAACAAAAGAGGGAGGTTCCGCAAGCACCACCAGCTAAGTCAGTCAGAAAATAAGAGCTGGACTCCTAGATCCCGGCGCCCATGGACTCCGACGGCCACTGAACTCCCATGGACTCCGACTTGTCGTTTGGTTGATTGGCAGCGGTTCACGTTGGAGGTCCCAAATTCAGAGCCCACCCAGTCTCCATAATCCACCGAAATGGGACCCTACTTGGCATTCGAAATGGTATGGAAGCAAAAACGATGCATGCACAATCATGCATAAGTATAGTATTAAATACCTCTGGAGTCTCAAAGCACCTGGGAAAATGGGTGCAAGTACCTGTTTTTGTATGGTCATGTCCCGTTTTCTGGGGTACTTTGGAGGGTCCAGGTACAGTAGAGTAGATGGCACAGACCATTTGTGCCATATATACTCTCAATCCACTATACGTATACTTCCCTACAAGCATCCTTGACTCTTTGCTGAAAAGGATGGTTTTGACCCTGCTTTTCGCAAAGGCTTGGAGCCTTCGCCAAACCTTCACCATTTGAGGGTCCTTGATTCTTAGCCTTAGGGGGATCCACATACCTTCTCAGAAGGTGTTTGGACCCTATAAACTTATACATCAAAGAGTGTCCGGCTGCCCACTTTCTCAGAGGGTCTTGGATCCATAGGGTAGGGCTTGAAAACCCATTGGTCCTAGCTACGAACGCGTTTTTCATCGACTCTGGTCGCACCATCTGACTGGACACCGAGCACTTCACCGAGCAGTGCAGGTGGTGTCTTCAGTTTCCTGGCTGTGTGCACCCTGGCCGTCATCAAGCTTCCAGGATGGAGTGTCTCCAGTGGCACCACTGTCCAGAGCTTTGCCTTTCTCTTCACGCGCTTCCGGCCGAATCGCTGGTGGCTCCTTGGCGAGTCTGTAGGTGAAAGACAGCCGGCTGCGTGGTCGCCGGGGAGATGACGGGCCGTGGGCAGGAGGACCAGGTGGTCGCACTGCGAAGCACCGATTCTCAGAGAGTGATGTGCAGCGCTGGTTGACATGCTAGATCAGCTTTCGCTTGAGGGCGGACGCTCGAGGTGTGGCGTTTAGGTGACGGAAGCGTAGTCTTGGGTCTAAGTCGCTCACCTACCACGTTGCTCACAAGGTGGGGGACACATCCACTCCCACGCTGTTTTTGACGCGTGACACTCCCTGAAAGAAAAAACATTATGCATTCCCTGGATGGTATGCGATGGCATGGCCCCCTATGCATCCGAAGACCCAACAGGTGGTGCCATCCACTTCCAGAGGTTTTCCATGGTTTTCCTTGGACACGACCCGTTGGAGTCGACCCGTTCGTACCTCAGAACTTGGGCACGGTCGTAGCTGATGGGGTGGTCATGCGTACCTCAGGTCGGAGTGTCCAGGTCCCGTGGGCGGAGCGACCGAGCTGCGAGGCCCCAAGCCCGGCAGCGTCCCGATCTCCCTGGACCCGACTGACACAACGAAGTGACCCAACGACACATCGGACCTGACCCGAACCAGCAGGGCATGATCATGTACTTACCCCATGTGACCCAACGACGCAGCGGGAGTTTCTCCAGGTCAAAAAACCCACGGAGACAGAAACGACCCATGTGCCATTTGGCTCAACCCTGGGCCCATGGGCGCCTAGGTATGGCGTGCCGTTGCTACTCCGTGGCCCCTTGCTGTCCTTTTGCGTGGTCGCGTTCACGGACTTCCCACCAGCGCAGACCACAGGCGACATGTTCTTGGAGCGAGAGCAGGGTGGAGCGAGAGCAGGCAATCTACCAACGCCACACAGGTCAAGGCAAATGTAAGTGCCGTGATTATTATGTGATCAATATAAATTTCCTTTTCGTGGGGAAGCATAGGAAGAAACCAGGCGTGACTCCCTTTCGATCTCCAGGCGTGACACTTCGTTTTGTGCAGACCACACGACAACCTAAGAGAGTCGAACCCGGTTGATGGTGCGCAGAGACAGTTGATCTCGTGGCTTGCATCCGTGGATCCACCCTACTATATTCGGTTTGGGTGATCTGTTCGACACAGCCTGATGTAGGCAATGTCGTGAGGAACCCTTCCAAACCGAACCTAAGAAGGACGTGGATCCCTGTAGGGGAGAGAGAACCCCCTCACAGCTTTCCGCGTCGCCGTCTCAACGCCTACATGCGAGCCCGACTCCACTGCTCTTACGCAGGTGGAATCGTGATCATCCTGGGTTTTCTCCTCCTGCGGCTCGGTCATGTCCTGGTTAAACACGCAAGATGTCCAGCTCTGTATCGCACGGGGAGACCTTTGGGGTGGGCCTTGCTGTCGACTGGCTTGCAGAGGGCTCAGTCTAGATCGATCTTGTTGGGTGGAAATAGGGAAGCCCCCTAATTACGTGTCTGGAGGTCTGGAGAGTCTCATTGTCCGTCCGAATTCGAGAGTCGCGAAAGCGGTGTTTGGACGAAGCGAAGCTGCTATCCGTCGCTGCCGGTGCTCGGTGTCAGGTCGGACGTAAAAAGGACCAACAGAAATGCACGGAGGGCTCTCGTTCCTTTTTTTGTCACTCGATCTCTCTCTCTCTCTCTGTTTGTCTCTCTCTCTCTCTCTCTTTGTTTGTCTCGCTTGATTTGCGTCATGAAGTTGTTTATTATTTATCCTATATATTATATATTCCAATATTATCCATTGAAGCACTCGTCTCAGATCAATGCGTGTGTTTTCTAGAGTTATAGTGTAGAGCTGAGTCCAGCTTGCAAACATGTCAATGCGCAAAACGCTGGCGCCCAACAGTCCAGTAGCTCGGTCTCCGCGTGGCCATAGTCTGTGCCAGGCAGGTGATGGCCTGTCCCTGGAAGCTGCCCTTGTTGAACGTGTTAGACACCTGGGTCTTTGCCCATTTGCTGCTGCTCCAGAGTCTCACGACATCAGCGGCATCAGAAGCTTCTCAGCTGCATGTTCGAAGGCAACAGCGAAGCAACAGCTGGATGGGACGGATTCCATCTCCTCTGCTTTCGTCCTTCAGGGCAGGTGGATCAACCTTCGGGATGATCATCCTATTCTGATTTGATGGGCTCGTCCGAACGTGGACATGGGGGGGGACGGACATCCGAACAGGCAAATAGGACATGGTAGGACTGGGTGCGTTTCCTGGGCCGCGCCAGTCCAATACAGGTTTGCCGCATACGTCCATCTTCCCTCGAAGCCGATCCAAGGAAGACCAGGACTTGCACTTCTTTCAGGAGGCGAGGGGTGGTGTTCGGAGAAGCCCTTGGGTTTACCAACACATACACAACCAGGGCAACTATGTCCATGCATTCAACTTCCACCAGTCGTTTCAAAGACAAAGACTCATTATAGTATCATCATAGTCTCATAGAAACCCTGATATATCGTCGATCCACTGAGAGTCATTCGATCCAACCGGAACATCGGCATTAAGTTTTGTGTAGAGTATTAGTATTAAGGCTGTGCAGATCGAGATAAAGTTGTTTCTCCTAAGAAGCCATGTTTTGTTGCAGATGGATTCCAACATTCTGCATGTAAATGAATGCACACTTACCAGCAAAGCCACCCCGGCCATACTTGCCATATTTGCTTGGAGTGTTGGGGATGCGGATGTTTGCGTCATACCCATGGGCGCCTCTTGCGACAAGTGCTCTCTACGATCCTCTTGAGCAGCATTGCATTGGCCTTCGCCAGCATGGGGGCGTTGTTGTGCGGCAACGTGGTCCATCACCTTATCTTAGGAAGCTCGGATAAAGGTATGTGATGTGAATATTTAATATAGTATTATGGTGTGGGTGGGGGCCGAGCAGGGTACAGTCCCCAATGATTTCAAACGTCAACCGTCCATTGTTCAGGTGATGCCCTGAACAGGGTGTAGTCATGAGTCATGTCATTGTACTTTCCTAAGCCTTGCATTCTTGGTGCTGGAGGCAGACCGAAAAAAAAAATCAACAGTTGTTATATACTTCCTTCTCATGACCTGTGTTACAGCTAGCCCGTAGTGGCACACTCATGTGTGACTTAGTTATGTACAGACATGGCCATGTTGAAATGAACTGAGGAAAGGACATCATGCACTCTCGGATCATCAATCTCAGCAGCTCCAGGAGTTCTGAGGCCCAGTCTCGGGTGGGATCGAATTCTCCCTCGCCTAGGACACAAAAGGAGACCTGAAGATGTCAGTTGAGCATGGCATTGCCTAGACCTGACGTCTTGTTCGTAGCCTATAATGGGACATGACCCGCGAAGAAAAAACAGGATACCATCCAGATACCTGGTCTAATATCGTTTGCTTCGGAGGCCATCGCTAGTAGGTTGGAGGCCATCGCTCCAGATAGCCATTTTCTTAATGGACGAGTTCGGGGTCGACTCGACTCCAGAAACCTCTACCACCCGGGTCCGGATCTTCGGTCCTCGGTGGGTCCGGATCTCATCTTGATCTCATGCATCCTCGATCTCGATCCATTCGGATTCAAAAGCGTCGTGCAATTCTTTTCGTTGTTGCGGGCGATTTCGTGTCGAGTCCTGGTTGGCAGGATCTATATCAGTGTAGTTTGGACAGATTGTTTTGGAGTTGTTCCACCAAAAAAAGGGATCCTCTATCATCCGTATACATAGGCCTAGTTGGAGCCGACCATGTGAAAGTTCATGGGGAAAGTACCGGCTTTGATGGGGGCATGTCCCATTTTCAGTACGTTGTTCCTTTGTCAGAAGCGCTCGGTCCACTGTCTCCGCTGGGCTTGAGGGAGACCTGAGCAAAGTGGTTCAATTACCGTACTCATTTGAGAGATGTTGCCTTGAAGTGCCAAAGGTCAACGACGTCATCAAGAGATGTAGACTCGTGCAGGAGCCCTAAAGCCGTTTTGATTAGATTTGTGATATAGATAGATCTTTCAAAGCACATCAAAGCACTAATTGTCCGAGGTACTTCAAGACGCCAGGTACATCCAGGTACACTTGTGGTAGCCTTCCACTGAGATGCATTTGATTAGAGCTGCTCTATCGAGTTCCCAAAGGCAAGTAAGAACCATGTCCAATCCGCCTCTCTTCAGGTCTTTCAAGAAAAGACATACACCGGCATAGATCCCAGATAGCGGGAGTATAGGAATAAAACTCATAGAGCGGATATCGTCCCCGCCATGACATGATGTCATCCCTGGCATGACATGATATCATCCCTGGCATGACGTGATTTCATCCCTCACTGACGATCAGTGGAAAACCCCGATCTAGCACCGGCACCACCAGCAGCTGCACCAGCACGCCCCAAGAAAACGCCGATCCAGCACCAGCACCCGCACCAG